ATCTAATAGTTATGATGAATTATGTCAAAAAATTATGTCTAAATAACATTATTGGTTAAATATTATTACCAATACATTTAGGACCCAATTGCAAAACAAATAACTTCATGTATCAAATTTATTTTTCATCATTAATACCTTCCCACAGTTCTTCTCATGGGTTCTCCAATCACCTTTCACTGCAAATGGCTTACCACATTTTCTACACATGAAGGGTTTGGTCCCATGCTTTCTCTTGTAATGTGTTTGGAGGGTTCTGAAGTCTTTGAGTGACCTTGCTCTTGGGTGATTAATGTTGTGCTTGCATTCCGGTGCACAGCAATAGCAAGGCAGTTTTAGCATTGCTGTTGGTTGAGTTCCTCTTAGAGAGGCTGTCCCTTTTCTGTATTGAGATCCATGTCCCCACATATGCATCTGTAAAATTGACAAAAACCCAAGTTGAGGGAGAGAGAGAGGAGGAGGTCACCCAGAGAACTACAAACGAAATCAACAAACGTACCCACTCAAACAACTTAGTTAAGTATAGGACATGCATCTATAATCAAACTGTTCACCAGGGTGGGGGGAGAGAGAAACAGCAAACTAAGCCTATAAAAAAGTTGATTCTACACAGTAACAAACCTTAATCGTCTGACATGCATCTAATCAATTAAAGTGCCAATACGAGAGAGAGAGAGAGAGGAGGAGGTCACCCAGAGAACTACAAGCAAAATCAACAACTGTTACACAGTCAAACAACTTAGTTAAGTATGGGACATGCATCTAATAATCAAACTGTTCACCAGGATGGGAGGAGAGAGAGAGCAGACAAAGCCTATAAAATTGATTGAGCACAGGCACAAACCTTAATCGTTTGACATATATCTAATCAATCAAAGTGCCAACAAGAACGAGCGAGAGGGGGAGGGGGGGAGAGGGAGAGAGATTCTCTAATAAAAAAAGTATAAAACTGCTAGAAAAATCTCTAATCAAACGAAAGAGAACAGCTAGAAAATTTAAGAAAAAAATTAAAAAAAAACCTAAAAATTTGGTAACTAGGACCTACAGTTACCCATTAAAGACTGCAGTTTTAAGTAGATAAAATAGAATGTAAATTCAGTAGTGTAAACAATCCCAAATGTCAAGTTTAAATCAGGGTCTATATACTTGTTAGTGAACAGTAGAATTTCAGAGGTCACAATGCAGCATGAGTGTGGTCTTACTGGTACTGGGTGTCTCTAAAAACACCTGAACTACTGACATGCTGTAAAATTTATCAGTTTTACATTTACCCATCTCCAAATTGCTACAGTAGTGTAGCACAAACTTCAAGGTAATAAATATTAAGAACATTGCTTGAATGGAAAATTTAAGGAAAAGAAATAATTCAAGGCATTCCAAATTCTCAAACCAAAACTCAAGATCCATGCATAAAAAAAGTGTAAAGTTAGTAAGTAACAAATAAAGAACAAGAAGGGAAGATGTAGCGGAAAAACCATCAAAAAACAACGATTGTTTGTGAAGGTTTCCGCAGAAAGACCAAGAGAACACAAACATACAACTGTTATTAATTATGTGTTTGTGTGACTAATTTTGGTGCTGGATAAAACCAAAAAAAAATATGGAAAGTGTAATGAATTAATTTGGTGTCGCTTAAGCCCACACAGCTTAGACTTTTTACCATTATGAAAAAAATTGGTGTTAATTTCTGTCACATGGAGTAGACAACTTTAGATAATCTCAAAGAAAATCTCATTCACTTGAAGATAGGTGTTGTAAATAGAGATTTTTGAGTCCTTGCGATGAACACTTTTGTCAATCTTGTGTGAGAACTGGACATAAATGAGATATCTCTCAATCTTAGAAGGAAAGAAAACATAAGCCTCTTTTCCTTAGAATGAGAAACCAAAGAGGAGTAATCCTACTTGGACCAAATTTTCTGATTTAATTAATTACTGTTGGACTAGCATCAAGTCTCAACATTGGACAGAATTCATTGTCAATCTAACAACTGTAAAAAATTAGGCCAGTAAATTAGGTCGGCCGATGATCCGTACCTGCAAATTGTTGTATCTGTTAAACGTCTTGCAGCAAACAGGACATGAGAACTGTGTTGGCCAGTGAGAATCTGAGAAGGTGTAGGAACCCAATACTGAACATTGTTTGATCTGTTCAAGGGCAACCCTAAGAGAACACCAACATTATCCTTACTTACAATCTCTTCAGAGGAAGAAAACAAATAAGAACTAGGGCTAGGGAGCCCTATATGTAGGTCTATAGCCACACCTTCATCATCAACAGGAGATAGAATGCTCTCATCTTTAGCTCTCTTTCTGTCATCTTCCATGGGACTGGAAGAAGGTCTATTCTCTTCTGCACTAAAACTCAAGTTGTTGAGAAGAGGTAGAGCTTCTCTTAGAGGAGGTGAAGGAGGTGATGCTTGAACTTGATAGGTATTTGAGAACATCTTACTCTCTTCAGATCTGACAATACCCAGAGTCTCGTGCACTGGACAAATGTTGTCCGAATACGTATGACTGCTTACAGATCCCAAAATGACTCCAATGTTGTCTGAATTGATCGGAGTCTCCTGCACGGACATGATATTGTATGAATACGAGTCATCTGTATGAGGAGAAATGGAAGGAAAGATGGAGTATGATGTAGAGGAAGAGTAGCGTGAGTTAAGAGGGATGAAGTTGAAGCATCTAGTGAAGAAATTGGAGTAGGGTTCTGCCATAATAAAAACTTGGAGGATAAGAATTATGGAGAATGTGGTTAGAAGTTTTGGAATTTTAGTCTATATATAATTGCAGAGTTGAGTTTATAGATGGAGATGGGCAAAGAGGGGTATGATGAAAGGAGGGTGAGTGAGTAAAGATAAATTTGGTGGTAAAAAACTAAGCACCCAATGAGTGTGTGAAAATTAAAAAATATATATATTACCCCTGCAAAGTGCACAACTGATGAATAAATATGAGTGAGAAGATAATGAAGGAAGGGAGAAAGTAAAAGGCCAAGACAAGGTCAGAGATTAGACTTGTAGTTGCAGGTTGTCTCCTCTGTGTATGTGTGTGAGAGAGAGAGAGGACATTCTGTATCTAAAGTTTTCCTCTTTCCTCTTTGTGTGTGTGTGAGAGAGAGAGAGAGAGGACATTCTGTAAGTGAAGTTTTCCTCTTTCTTCATCTCGCTAGTAGTCTCAGGGGACCCAGCATTTGCTTTGGTGGGCGTGTGTACTGTTTTCTTATACAATCTCTTGGTACTGTACCTTTGAGCACTCTATATTTGGCGTGCAATAATATTATCTTTACGGATATTTTTTTATCTCAAATGATGTGGTTTAATTTATATCATTAAATATTAATAAGATTTATTTATTTAATATTAAAAATTATGTCATATTACTTGAGATGAAAAACTTAAAAATAAATCTTAGTCAGCATAATATTTTTGTTTGGGATGACTTAGACTTAAGTTTTTCAGTTGATTCAGCCATTGGGCAGAACTTGTTATTAAAACTGGCTCAAAAGTGTAATGCTATGTGCACCAAAATTTATACCAAATTATTTGTAGTTGTTGGATCAGTGGGTCTCGTGACTGATCCAATAGTTGTAGTTGATTTGGTGCAAGTTTTGGTGTATAAATTTGGTCCATAAAGAATTATTCGGCTCAAAAACATTAATAAAATAGAATTTGTAGCACATAAATGATATTGTTATCTATAATTTATAATATAAAATAGTGTAGACTTTAATAAATCTATCTGACGGTCTCAAATAGATTTATCAAGCGATCACCAACATTTTATCAAAACTATTCACATTGTATCGTACCTTCAGATATGAGTAACTTTTAGTTTATACCTAATTTAGGAATCTGTTCAAATAATTTAGGTGTCTATAAAAGAAAATCGAGATGGATATTCGATTATTTTTCCAATAGAAACCACCTTTTAATTTAAATGAAAGTCGAATATTGGATGAATTTTTCCCAAGGAATGGAACTTTTATCAAGGTATAGCACCGATAAATACTATAGAACCAAACCATGTTTATGCTATCTTTATGCAAGTGAGCTTGAGATTTTTCATTTTTGGAGGTTCATAATCATAAAAATTACTTAAATGCGTGCCAAATTCATGAAATAGCAAACACTAACAATTCATTTCCATGCTTGTTCTCTAAAGGTGTCAAGGCCTTAAGGGGTTTTTGCACCTGTTTCATAGCCTGTTTCATCTATCAATCAAGATCAAGAGCAATTGGAGTGAATTTGATATGTTTAAGTGGATTTATATAAACAAAAATATTACGCTCATCAATTTTTTTGCATCAAATCAAAGTGAACTGGTTAGATTAGTAGATTTTGTTGACTACCAAGCACTAAACATTTAATGATTGTAATGGTGCTAATTCGTTGAATTATCTTCACTGAATCAGTTGATACTGTTTTACTACACATTTGACAAGATATAAATCTCTTTGTTTTTTAACTTATTCTTTTATGTGTATCACCGAATACCGTTCTGCTACGTCGCATGGATGTGTCTTAGAGCTCTTTGAGTTCAGGAGGCAGATGTAGGAAGGGATGAATGGGAAATTCAAACAAAAAAATTAGGGTTTGTTGAAACTTTTGAAAAAATTAAAATTTGTTACTACTTGCCCCCATTAGTTGGTAAAAATAAGTGAAATTCTTTCATAAATTAAAAATTAGACTTAAACTTCTCTCAGACAATTTAATGCCATAGCTCAATCTCCCGTTTTCAATTCTATCACTTTCTTCTTATATTTGAAAATTTTGTATATTATAAAAAATATTTTAGATTAAATTAATTCAATATATACGACTTGGACAATTTACTTGTGAGAGATTAAATTGTTCTTACATCTATGTTTTGTTTAATAGATTTGTGACAGATTGAATTTATTATTCTACGTCTTTTTGAATATGTATGGTCATTATATTTTCATTGAGGTAACTAAACAAACTAATAGTTGAGTCAATTTTGGAAAATCAGCATTGCACCAAGGAATGTTTGCACTAATGCTTGCATTACTAAGTTTTAGGGTGCCCCAACTAAAAACCTATATGGGCTCCGTTCATGTTTGAATCGATGACTAATATCGCAACCCTAATCCATGATTAAAAATACACAAACAATAATGTTTATATTCTCAACACTTTTCCAGAAAGTAAACTTTGAGATTTTCAATCTAACGAATGTGGGTGTTTAATTATTAAATTATGACGTGATATAAGTATCCAGTACTCCAAAAGAAATACTGGATAGGAAGGAAATAAGGACAGTGATAAGTAAGACCGACACTGATGTTTCTCCTTTATGGTGCAAAAAAATGTAAGTAACGATCAAGTTTAATTTTTCTCAAGTACCCCATATGGAGAGAGAGAGAGAGAGAGAGAGGTTTGACGAGACATAGCATAGATAAGGTGAGCATAGATAAGATGCAAAAGGGACTTAATGTATCAATACATCATGAGAGACAGAAAGAGAAGGGTTGACGAGACATTGCATGGGTAAGGTGCCAAAGGGGAACCCCACTACACCATTAAAAAATATTATTTTTTGATTCTGTGTCTTTTTTTTTTCGATCAATAAGAAAATGTCGCATGTTTATTCTTTTTATTTTGTTATTTTTTATTATTTTAATTAATCATTAAATTTAAAATCAACTGCTAAGATTAATGTAAGTACAATACCGACTTAACCTACAAAAGAGGCTCAATGTGAGCTTGTAGGGTAAGTCGGCACCGTAGATGGAGGTGGACAAAAGGAATGGAGCAATCATGTGCATGAGGAGACATTTTTGGATCGTTTGTATTTTTTCTATAATTTTTTTTTTTTTGGTATTACAATCAAGGTTATTCGGATACCTTACAAGTATTTCAACTAATTCTTCCTCGATTCGGTTAGATTTAGGTTATTAATGTCAAAATTAGGAAATTCATTAGGGGATAAATCTCTTATGACCCACCTTTAAAGAAGTTGTCAAGTTTCAAACTCAAAACATCTAAATTTATAACTTGTCTTTTTTATTTCAATGAAGTAACCTTGAGGTTATTTTTTCTACAAATTGTAACCATGAGAATACTTGCACACTCAAGTCGTTATTAAAGCATTCAATAGTAAGAAAATTAGTTGCCATTAATTAGTGAAAGAGTAATCTTAAATTGACCAAATATTAAAATTAAAAATAAAGTTTAAATGATGTGACAATTCAAATAATAAATAATAAATCCGAAATTTTAAATATATAAAAGTGAGATCAAAAGTCTCAATATTGCACTGTCATATCATTTGAATTTTATTTTTGGTCTCATGAGCAATGTTACTTATACTTAATTTATTGGCCAGTCTTTCGAATTAATAATTATGACTCAAATTGAATATTTGATATTATAAGATCCTCATGGTCACGCCCAAGACAAATTATCCTAATCATTCATAACTATTGAATTAACAACGAGTCTCGGTTATAATTTATAACTTTTTAACACAGTCTCAGAGTTACATGTGGGATGGCCTTCCTAGAACCTAATTAGCAAAAGAAAAAAAAAATTGTGGAACTAATATAGTAAGACTAGACTGGCTAGCACTATAAAAGCATGAAACTATCTATTACTTATAATGCAGTTTTTCTCAAACTTTCTCTACAAATTTATGAGAAACCCCATTTATATAAAGTGGATTCTGAAATAATTTATTATAGATAACATAAAATGAAAGAAATAAAATTGTATTATAAGAGATCTAGTGTGAGACAGTGAGTTCGGTGACACAATAATTAATATATGTGTATATATGTGTATAAAATTTAAGTATATAGATAATGAACGTATTCATAATATATTATTTTATTATATTTTTTTATATTTAATATGTGATTTTCACACATGTAAAATACTGAGAAGAATGACAATCAAAACAAAGTAAATTATGACCAAAATTCTCCAACAAAGATGTATAGTTTTATATTTATTCGAGGATGTATAGTTTTATGTTTCCAAGAGTGCACGAGTGTGTCTTTGGTTGCGAGCCTTTTAGGTTTTGAAGGGGTGTTTGATAGTCTCCAAAAATCTCTGCCTCCCTATTTGGAAATCCTATGAACTTCAAACCAAATCATTAGGGCATGTTTATTTCGAGTTTAAAATTTTATATATATTTCACACTGATTCAATGGTATACTATATTCGATCTTAAATTATAATTTCATCATTTTCCTTGTTTGTTTGTCACAAACATTATTTGTGTAATACCTATTAAAAAAAATCAACAACTACGGCTATAACCCGTAAAAAGACAATTGTAACCTTGTAACCTTAAAAAGACAATTGTAACCTTATAAACTTAAAAAAACAATTGTACATGAGGGCAGTTGGGTTTTTTTACTCTATTATACTTCCATCTTATTTGTACCGGGCATATAATACCACTAGTTAGGTGATATTCATTAAGACCATCTACAAGGCATTATGAATATTGTTCATAGCCGGTCGGTATTACGATCCTGAAAATAGTACTAACTATAAAATGCTAAACAAACAAGATATAAGATGAGTCTCATGTACTATTTCTCTAATACCACCTCCTTATACCACTCTTTAATATTTTTTTATCTATTTGGTTTTTTTTTTTTAAATAAAAAGGTTAATAATATTTGGGATCCCTAAATTATGTACATTTTATCAGTTTAGTCTTTATTGTATTAATTTTATCTATTTCA